ATTCTATTTTATTGTTAATTTGTTACTATGCCTAATTTATTATGTTATTTACCATATGTATGTACAGCGTATTATATAGGAATAAGCAATATATGTAGGGTTCTTTACTTTCTGTAGTTTTAGGCCCTCACTTAGCATCTTGGAAGATTATTCACCCATGGATGGAGGGGGACTTCTGTGTCATTATGTTTTTATGCTTTCTTTATAGTTTTTTGTATCAAGTATAGGTTGATAATTGTTTTGTTTTGTTTTTTGAGTCAGTCTTGCTACTCACTGTGTAGCCCAGGCCGACATTGAATTTCTTAAACTTGGTGTAATCCTCCTACCTCAACCTCCTGAGTTCTGGGATTACAGATGTCTCTTCTAATCTTTTTTGAAAATTCTTATTTTTGATCTGTCAGTGAGATGGTCATATAATATAAAATTATTACACATTTTAACATCAGAAATAGTTGTTTTTTTTTGCCTCTGGAATAATCTGCATTTTTTGTACAGTGATTATGTTTTGTATCTTGACTGCCATAGATAAGTGCTTGCTTTTTAGTATGATGTGGAATGCGTTGATTGATTTAAATGTGTTATTTGATTGTGTACTTTTTTTTTCTACAGCAATACAAGTTTTTGCGCTTCAGGAGATCTCTGCTCTTAATAGTTAAACATAGTTGTATGGAATCACTGTTCCTGGTTAGAAATTTCTGCATCGTGTATTATTTTCTGGGTAAGAGTTTCTACTTTTGGGAGGGAAAAGGGCGATACACAAAGAATTGAGATGTGTTATACACATGTACGAATTCCCCAGGATGAATGTAGTCATTATCTATTGCAAACATACTAATGAAAATTTAAACGTTTTTCTGCCTTTTTATTTTTTATTTTTATTTTGGTGGATCTGAGGATTGAACTCAGACCCTTGTGCTTGCTGGGCAAGCACTTATTCTACTGAGCTATCTCCCTGGCCCATGAACTATCTCCCCAGCCTGAAGCCTTTTAATGTAATGTGGTACAAAGTCATTCATTATTGTTTGTTATAGACATGTGATTAGCTCAGCTAATGTATTTTTTAAATAGTCAAAAAGTACTTATTTAGTTAAGGGAAAACATTGGTAAAGAATGTGATTATGTATGTATGAGGGACCAGGATATAGGTCAGTGGTAGAAAATACTTGCTGTGTGGCATGTGTGAGGTCTTGAGTTCAATCCCAGGCACTAGGGTGGAGGAGGAACCCCTAGTATATGTATTTAAATATTTTTAAGTCTTTTAAAGAGGGAAATTTTGTCTTTTGTTATAAGAGATAAATCTTAAAGTTAATGTGCTAACTGAAAGCACAAAAATAAAAATATTGTATGAGTCCACTTATGTATAGTATCTGAAGTGGTTACACTCTGAGAAACACCATCTAGTGTGATAATTGGGGGATGAGCAGATGTGGGAGGAGAGGAATTGTTTAATCATGCAAGATGGAAA